CTTTTCCTGGGGTCCGGCGCGGCCCTGCTGCGGCGGGGGGTGCTGGCGTCGGCTCTCCCCGCTGCGCTGCGCCAGCTTTCGCTTCGTCTCCAATGGCAGCTTGCACTCTGTTCCTGCTTGGAACAAATGCCCTCGTTTGGCTTTACTGTACAAAAGACCGTATTTACATAAACAGGGGAAAGGTTGGTCAGAAGGTGAAGATGAGGCGTCTTGAAGGGAAGCCGGTGGCTTAAATACCCCAAACTCGCCGCCTCGCCTGGCTACCAAGTCTGAGAGGACGAGGCAAAAGCAGGAGTGCGATTTTAACCCTTTTTTTTTTTTTTTTTTTCCCTCTTCCAACGGCGTTTTCAGCCACCGCTGCTACCCAGAGAGAGCAGGACCTGTGCCGAGCGGAGGAGGGGATCTCTGCAAAGTAAGCTGGGCTTTTTAAAGGCTTTCTCCTTCTTGTTTTGCTTTCCAAGAGCAGCGGAGGCGGTGACCCCGCGCTGGAGAGCACAGGGGCTCCCACCACCCCGCACTCTTCCCATGCTTTCTCTGAGCTGCAACCTTCGCTTGTTACGGGTCACCGACGGGGATGATGGCGATTTTCTGTGCTTAATTTCTTCCCTGGTTTAGTGACATAGCGAAAGGCAGCAAGCGCTCCCAGGTGGGCTCCCGTGCAGCCCTGCTCTCACGTCCGAGGTTTATCTGTTGCACAAAGAGTTTATTTATGAACAAGCCAGGCAGAGATCAAAGATCTTTCTACAAAATGTTAATTAAACGAATAGCGGTGTGCTGTTGAGGCTTGAAGAGGGAAATGAGGTTTAGCTTTGTTAAGGAAGCGTCTGGTGGAAATATTTACAGTATTCCTCGAATTTCAGTTACTCCTATTTTCCCTAGGGCAAGAGGGCAAACCTGGCTGTTGCTTCAGAGGTTCTGTAAACTGTTTTTCTTGGTTATGTGTAATGTGGGTGTTTGATGTGATCCAGCGTGACTGCGTCGGAGGGGGAGCGGATGTGACTGCGGCGATTCGGTTCCTGCTTCACAGCATAACATACAACGTACCACATGCCGCCGTGAGTCTTGCAGGAAACAGACATAAATCTGCCTGTCCTGGCACAGAGAAATGTGGCGGTGATGGGGGGGCATGGCTGGTGGGAGAGCAGGCGTTGGAAACATCTCATTTTAGAAACAATTGTGTGACAAAAGAGCTAGCGCCGATGAAAGGGTGAGACATAAGTTGGTTAGCAGAGGGAATTAGCAGAGATGTGTGTGTGACAGGGTTTAATCTCTTAATGAGAAAAATATATCCCGGCTGCCTGTGGTGGGGCGAGTTCAGGGATGAGCATGGCGTTGCGTGAGAGCTCGCCCTTGCACCCTGTGTCCTCCGCTTGCTGCCCTGAGATTTGCCTGAAGGATGCTCAGGAGCAGGGATGGGACCTGTGATCGACAGCCAGTGCAAAATGCCCACGGGGCAGGAGCGAGGACGTGGGGATGGGGTTGAATTTGTCTCAGATAAGGGCTGGTCGCCAAAGAGCACCCTGCCAGGTTGTTTCCTTCAGTTCCCAAGCCCAGTAATAGGCTCTGCTCCCTTGATTAGTTGGTGCCAGTGCGGAGCAGTAATGAGAGCCGGGCTCAAGCCATCAATTCTAGGTCAGTGGTTGTGTGCTGGGGATTTGGGATCGGGCAGGGGGAGGGGAACTGGAGCTGGATGCCTGCCTCCAAAAAGCAATGTGGAGCCTGTGTTAAGGCGGCCCTGCCTGCACCTATCGGGGGGAAGCTGTGCTCCCCTCCGTCTGCAAAGTACCCCAAGGGCCATGTTGCACCCCATTGCCCTGGACGTGGTCCGTGCCTGTTAGGAGGCTCATTGCCCATTTCAGATATGCTCTCCTGAGAGGGTAACATTGCAATAATTAGATCCATTAAGGAGCCAGAAGAAATAATTGAGTTTTAAAACTGAGACTTTGCTGTGTTCCTCAGCAGCATCCTTTGCCTCTTGCAGAGCCACTTTCCTCTCTCCCTGGCAGCAGAGACCTCATTTAGTGTCAATTTGTCATCGTTTCTGGTGCTTAACCTCTGATCATTCCCTAAAGGTGGGCAGGTGAGGCTACGAAGTGAAAAGCAACATGGACATGGACGTGCTGAACATGTTTGTCATCGCTGGCGGCACCCTGGCCATCCCCATCCTGGCCTTCGTGGCCTCCTTCCTCCTCTGGCCCTCAGCACTCATCCGCATCTACTACTGGTGAGTTCGTCAGCCCAGCTGCTCTCATTTTAGTGCAGGGGTGGAATTGCTGCTGGTCCCCAGCAGGTCCCTGCACCCTCGCACACCCACGGGTGCACAAAGAGGTGGTGGGCAGCAGGGCGGTGCGGACAGGGGTGGGTGCTCCTGCCCCTGATGGCAGTGGGAATGGGTGAGGTGGATTTTCTTAGGGCCATACTGGCTGTGTGTAGCTTTAAGCATCTCTAGGAGAAGAAAATGGCATTCTCTTATTGCTTTTTTGCTGCTGAGGCTTACATCTGTCGGGGCAGCCTCAGCTGGGCTACAGGACACCTCCAATCCTTTCTGGGTTGTTTCCCCCAAGGATGGGGCTGCGGCTGGGAAAAGCATCGTCGCTGCTGCCCATCCCACCCCTGGCAGGCTGGTGACCTCCCGCCTCGCCAACCTAGCTGGGTGTTCTCAGCTCTGTTGCGGCTCCCCGGCCTCACACGCTCTCTCCTGGCTGGCAGCCTGCTCAGCAGGCAGGGACTTTTGTCTCGCTAGTAGATACATACCGGGCTTCTCTCTTTCTCTCCCTCTCTTCTGGGCTGGAGCATCAGAAAAGATGGAGCAATGCTTTTCCTTACCCCCCTTGCAACTCCTCCTTTCCGATTAACATCAGGCAGGCACCACATCCGTAGTCCTCATCTGTCCCTGGAAATCCATGATAAGGCTTTCCTCTCTGGGTTTGTTGCAGAGGGAAGCTGGAATAACGCTCCCCCCTGCCACTGGCAGATGGTGGCTCCTGCAGTTTTGCTCACAGGGCGTTTCCAAATCAAAGTGACCTCATGTGAGAGGAGGACGTTAATCCACTCCGGCACTCAGGCGCAGCAGCCTGATGAAGCCTGTTTTTCTAACGGTGCATTTTTTAGCAACATTTTAATCACAGCATCTGGGGGCTGACAGAGGGGAGGGAGGATGAGATGAAAATCCCAGCGATTGGATCAGCATGGGAGAGAATTTATTCCCGTTGTGCATCGCGCAGGGACCTGCAAGGCCAAACATGGCTCTGCAAAGGAGAGCAGCTGGCGTGACAGCCTCCTGCCCTGGGGACGTCAGGGCTGGCACCGGCGGCAGGTCCAGTACCAGATTTGCCAGTCAAAATTTTTTTTTTCCTTTGGACATACGAGCGGCCAGTGGAAGCCAGGGAGGACACTGATGGGCTCAGGTTTGGAGGAGGATCAGCGGAGAAACGCTGCCATGCCAGAGCAGAGCAAGTGCAATCGGGGCAAAGCCTGCAGGGGGGTGCAGGCAGGTGGGGCAGGACTCGGCAGAGGAGGCGAAAGGGGCTGATGCCGAGGAGCTTCGAGGAGCCGGGTTGAGCGGGAGGTAGAGAAGAGCCTGCCTCCTTGTCCTTCAGGGTGGCAAATTAGGGGCTGAGTGAAAATGTACCATGGGTAGGACAGTCTGCGTTTGGCTGGGGGAGCGTGTGAGCAGAGATCAGCAGCGCTGTTTTGAAGGGTAAGTGCCCCCATCTGTCTCTCTCTTCCAGTGTTTCTGGTAGCATTGGCATCTTGCAGGAGTGGCCAGGATGCTCTGTGTTTCATGGGCACCTCGTTTCTTTGGGACAGTGGGCGAGAAGCACGGGTTTGCCCTTTACTCTTCCTTTCCTACTTGCTTCTTTCCGAGTTGGCTTTTTTGGGGTGAAAGCGTTGTGTTTCCCCATGGGAAGAGGCAGGAGAGGAGGCGGGCATCGTGCCATGCTGCCCTCCCCTTCCAGCCCCATGCGGCTCCAGCTTTGTGGCACCGCTCCTGGGAGGTCCCCAGGGGTGCTTCCCCCTTCTGTCACCACTCACTGCCCCTCTCCTCCTCCTCTTCCTCCTCGCTGCTGGCCTGCGTGTCCTCAGCCGGCGCAGCCAAGGGTCACACCGGCGGCCTCGCTCCCTCCCCGGCAGTTAATGCGGCTCTCTGCCGGGCATGACGTCCAGGGTGCCCCGCTGACCCCGGCTGCAGAGCCTGCCCACCCTGCCCGCCCTGCCGGCTCTGCCGCCGGGGGTTAATCAGTTTAGCTGCTGCCACTAAGCGCGTTAACACCTTGCAAGGGATCAGTTCAGCTTTGCACAGATTATTTTGCCTTCTGCTGAATTGATCCTTCAGGATCAGTTGCTAAAAATGTTATCATCTTCCCCATCGGTAGTTTACACCGGTGCCTTTGAGGCGAGGACTCTTAAGACACTTATTCAGGGGGAAATTCACCTCTCCTTGTAGGACCAGCACAGAGCCGAGATGCTGCTTAAGTCCCACTAACTCCCTCCAAAAAGGGATTATGCTAAAAGAGGATTTCACTATGCATAAGCTTTGAGTGGGCAGAGAGCTAGGACAGCCCAGCAGTGCTGGTGACCTTGCTCTTGTGTCTCAGATAAACTCTGATATCACGTATAAAAGTATTTGCTGGTATTTTGGCCATCAGGAGTAGCGTGGTAGTCTCAGCATAGGGGAAATGCAGTGAAAGCATGCCTGCTCCTCCATCTTGGACTGCATGTACACATCATGTGTCCAAAGTGTCACTGATAATCTCTGCCCAGGTCCCCTCTGGCCGACAGTTTCACTGCATCCTCTTTGAGCAGGCTGCAAGTGTGTGCTGGCTGGAGCTGTCTGTCTCCTTGCTTTCAGAGGAATAACCCAGGTTTCCTTGGGGTAAGCCTGCTATCTTCTGGGGTGTTTGACCCTGCGTAAGGATGGCTCCCTCCAGTCCTTCACGTGTGTGTAAACACATTTTTAAAGATCATCTAGTTGGCATATGGGAGCTGGGTTTCTGTGGCGCTCCTGGTGACACGGTTGTGTTGGCTGGGATCGATGTGCCTGTCCGTGGGGTGATGTTGTCCCATGGCTGCAGGGCTGCAAGGCTGTGCCCAAATAAACCTGTGGGAGATCCACCTTACCCACCCAGAACAACTGCCTCCCTTGGCCTGCCCATCTTGCACACTGCCTTGCCATGTGTTCTGCCTTCCTCTCTTGAGCCTCTCTCCTTGTACCAACATATAGGTGGTTTCAGCTTTACAGTTGTTATTTTGGCCCATTTCCATCGCCAAATCAGTTATTTGGTTATTTGTGGTCTTTTTTTGGTGTTTTTAATAAACAGAGTGTCTCCACAAGCCATCTGCAGCGCAGCCATGAGCAGCCAGCCGCCAGTATCACATGTGTAAGGGATCACATGTAAACACAGGGTCTGGTCCAGGGGTCAGATGCTCAGAATTAGTCCCAGTTAGGGCCGTGACAGCACTGGTGTGAGCCCTAGCAAACTATCAAGCCTGTGGCTGAGTTTGGCCCTGTCACCTGGCTTATATTGCCGCGGAGCCCTGGTCTTGCCTCACTCACTGGTGGTGTTTTCTCCTTTTTTCCAGGTACTGGCGCCGAGCCTTGGGCATGCAGGTTAGATACGCAAACTACGACGACTATCAGTTCTGTTATTCCTATAGAGGGAGACCGGGATACCGACCATCCATCCTGATGTTACATGGGTTCTCAGCCCACAAAGACATGTGGCTGTCTATAGTCAAGGTGGGACTCCATTTCTGCTATGTTGCAACCTAGTGGGAGTTGATGGTCCTGGGCTTGAGGGTGGTGTGGGGACCCAATGGTTGCACGCATGGGTTGTGATGATCACTGTAATGTGCTAGAAACACTCTCCTTAGCTCTGTGCTCATTGCTTGTTGGACCCCTTCCATCCCTATGACATGCAGAGCTGCAGAGGAAGAGCAGTATGTACCTGCCTCCTCCATGGGAAGCGAGTCTTGGCTGTGGTTTCTCATCATGTCATCCTTGGTACATGAGCTGACTTATTCTGGTGCACAAGCAACCACGGGCTACTAGGAGGAGAGCACCCCCCCCGCTCCCATCCATGGTCACCAGTTTCCATCCTTGGTCTTCGTAGCAGTTCCCCTGCACCGTAACCTCCCCTGGTTTGTTTCTGCAGTTCCTGCCGAAGAATCTGCACTTGGTGTGTGTTGACATGCCCGGGCATGAGGGCACGACCCGCTCGGCTTTGGATGATTACTCCATTAGTGGGCAAGCTAAGAGAATACACCAGGTAATGCTCCAGCATTGCATTGCCTCTGCAGAGGGATGCAGGGACATGAGGGATGCGGGGACGTAAGGGATGTGGGGACACGAGGGATGCTAATCCCCATGAGCCCTGCATTGTGTGGCCCCGCTCCCTCCCCTCCCAGGCAGCCAGAGCCACCATCTTCAAGCTTTTGAGTTGAATTTCTCTAATGACCCCACGCCGTTGCTTCCTCTCCCCTAACACACTCCTTCTGCTCCCCTGCCAGTTTGTGGAGTGCATCAAGCTGAACCGAAGGCCCTTTCATCTGGTGGGCACTTCCATGGGGGGAAACGTTGCCGGCGTCTATGCTGCTCAGTACCCAGAAGACATTTGCAGCCTGACCCTCATCTGTCCCGCAGGTGGGCAATGCAGGGGAGGTGAGATGGGGAGAGGGCAAGCAGGAGCTGGTGCAAAAGCCCATAGCAGTGCTGGGAGCAAAATGTGCTTTTAGTGCAAAGCATTTGGAAATAATTTTATATATACAGCCTGAAAATCTCTGTCAGGGCATGGGAAAAAATCACAGCCTTGTCCCAACTGCCCTTCTCCAGCGCTTTGGAGTTTGCCGTGCTGTGCCATGGTTAGAGCTGGCACTAGGCAAATGGGGCAAGTTCTGCTCTGGAAGAAAATGTTTCCCCTTGGGAGAATGGTGGCAGCCATTTTACAGGGCACATCTGTAGCCTCTCAGTTCTGAAGGGGGAACCCAGGCAGCAATGGGAAAAGCCTTCCCAGTCTGGATGCCTGAGAGCCCCAGTGTGCTGGAGGGCTTTGGGAGCCGGAGAGCTCCGTCCTCCCACGTTTGGGTGCTCCCATGTTTGGGTGCTCCAAGCGGGAAGAGCACTTGGGAGCCAGGCATGGGCCAGCGGGGTGTCCTGTGCCCAGGCAGCACCTCTCCCTCCCCACTGTCCCCTTGGCCAGGGGCTTGGTGGAGTGTGGGCATGATGTGCGGCAGGAGGCAGAGGGGTTTGGCAGGGCTCTGCTGGGGAGGGCTCTGCTGCATCCTGGTTGTTATAGCAGCTCCTTCCCCCTCCCACGCAAGGGGAACAGCTCCCAGATAAGAAATAAGCAATGAAGCAAAGCGAACGTTACCTAGCTACTGGGCTCTGGGGGCTGTGAGGTTCCCCCTCCTCTCTGGGAGAGGTGTCGGCTGACTCTTCGGGTGTTTCTGGATGTGAAACCTCCGTGTGGAGGCTGCGGAGAGGTTTGGGGTTAAGGCTGCCGGGGGATTTTTCCCTGCAGTGGTGCATGCAGATGGGGCTTCTGAAAGCTTCTGTCCGACCCTTTTCTGTGGCAGGCTGGGCACGGGCGTTAGTATTTGCACTTGCTGTCCACATAAAAATAAACACTGTAGTTTTCGCCAGAGTATTCATGCCTGTCTACGGGGAAAACACCTCGTGTTGTGTCAGCCGGTGGGGCCCAGTGGCATCAAGGCCTGGAGCAGGAGGAGGCTAGGGTATCTCTGAGTGCATATTAAGGTTGCTGTCTGTACAGATTTTATTCTCCCCCTCTATTTTAATTTTTTTTTTTTTAATGATTGAGCAAGCGGGAGGCCCGAGGCAGGGATGATGGAGGTCAATACAACAATGCTCTGTTGCTGGGGCTGTTGAGGTCTTGTTTGGCTTTTAGCTTGTGACGCCTTCTCGTTCAACCCAGGCCTGCCGAGTACCACCGACAGCAAGTTCATTAAGCAGCTCCGGGAGCTGCAAGAGTCCAACTGCATCAACAGGATCCCTTTAATTCCCTCGACTCCCGAGGAGATGGCGGATATGCTGAAGCTTTGCTCCTACGTTCGCTTCAAGGTGCCGCAGCAGGTGAGGACCCCGGGCTGGCTGCGGCGGCCATGAAAGGGGATCTTGGGGCAGGGGCAGAGGTTTGCTTCTCCCCAAGCCTGTGCAGCAGCCGACGAGGGGATGCGGGGGGGA